ATATAATGTATCTAAGGATACTTTTGCAAAATAGCGTGCGTTTAAAGGGAAAAAAAGCAATTGAAGTTTTTTTAAGGGGTTAGGGGCGAGTTGTTAGCTGTAATATAATACACGACAGCTCTCTGCCTGTGACGTCACCTCTGCCTGTGACGTCAACTTGGCAGATACGCTATCTCGTATCTTGATTCAGCCGGACGATTCGGTATCCAGTGTTTTTAAATTGTATATATGTATTTTGTATCATTACGGAGGATCTGAGAGTGTAATTTTTTGTCATACTAATGATTTTGTCGTACCAACAAAATGATGAGAATATTTTCAATAAATCTTTTTTATTATAAAATGTATATTTATAATAATCAATACACTGCACAGAGAAACAGGCGTACGAAAATAAGTGCAAATATCAAGTTGACGTTATATTATATAACAATTAAATAATATAAAATATTGTAACTCGTAACATCTGACAATATAAAATGGTATAAAATGTAAGGGTGATAAACCTTTTCGCTAATTAACCATTTTTCTTAGTAATATGTGAGTTTTCGACCAAAGGTTAAGAAAGTTTCTCTGTTAGGGATGTAATTAACTATAAAAAAGATTGGAAATTTTCGTCGAAAGTTAATACTTACTCAAATCATTTCTCAATTAATTTACTTATTTTGTGATTATCGAAATATTTCAGTAATGAGCAGATTTCGTTGGAAATTGTTTGAGCAACGAAGAAAGGTTCATGACTTTTTCTTCGATTTACATTCATTATCAAGACGATTGCGTAGTTAAGCATGGATAGAAGTTGTCACATGCAGCCCGAGTAATTTTGCCACGCATAAATTATTCAATTTTCTGGCTAATAAGTGATTTCGTTTCAAAATTTAAGCAGCCATATTTTCCTCTTCACATTTTACACTGAAAGGACTTATTATGGAGGAAATTTCACAATTCACTGGCTATGATTAATCGAATGTTTGCTCATGTGTCATTTATGTTTACTTAACATAAATTGTTGATAATAACCTATAGGAAAAAAAGTAAAAAAAATTAGTATTTAATATTTAAGAATAACTGGATGTCGTCCATGCCAGAGAGAATATCTAAGTGGTACAAATGAGTCGATAATTCTTTTTTCATAGTTGATGATTAAAATTAATTATTAGGCACTTTTGGTTAAATACTTTGGTTAGATGTGTGGATCAAGGATATGGTGCATATAAAATTTAAATCATAGCGAGCCGTCTCTTCCTCTGTTCTTTAGGTGGAAGTTTATTTAGTTCTTCTACTATCAATTTTGCCAATCTGCCGCCTGTGTCTTCAGCGACTTGAGGGTTTGCATTATCATTCTGCAGACTTTGATGTGCTGTCTGTCATAAGAAAATTAAAGTGGTTTCCAATGCCGTTGTGTCGCTTTTCTTCCTCCTAGAATTTGGTCTTTGTGATGTTGACTGGCACAATGATGGAGCTGGAACTCTCGCGCCCAGAAGTCATTGAGCATCTGGAATCTTCAGTATCATCACGAATTCCCCGAAAATCTCGCTGACCTCTAGATGAACCACCATCTTGCGACGTGCCTTGTTGCTTCAATACTGGGTTTGATGAAGATCTCTTTTGAGTTGTTTGCTGGGTTCTGTGCCGAAATGGTGCAGGAAAGTTGATATTCGATTCGATTGGTGTAGGCACCAAGTTTGAAACTTGTGTATCAGAGCTGGATACTAATAAATCATTTTGGGATTCAACATTTTCAACCTTTTGAGAACCTCGTGATTTTCAGCCGGCAGGTCTTGCTGAAGAGTTAACGATGTTGGTGGCACAGCGAGGAAACCATTTCCTTCATCAATTGCCGCTTTTTTGGTACGTTTATTGATTAGTTAAATTAGTTATTCTGATTAGTTGAGATTTCCATGTATCTACCTATTACGCTTCGTAATTTTGGTTTCATTGCAAAAATAGACCATCATGGAAATGTAAAAAAAGCTTTCCGGCATTGAATGAAACTTGAACATTTAAAAATGATAAAAATAATTCTAAAAATAAAATTCATTGAAAATCAAATGGAACGATACAAAAATTGTAGGTCTTTTATGAGATAGAGAGAAATTTTATGTGCAATTTCAAGATAACATTTATTATTAAGAGTGAAAAGGACCCAATAATTTATGAGAAGGTCCAGAAGCAATTGATTTGATTTGGAATACGCATTGTTCATCGAACTGAGTTCATTGAACCTTATAATTGAATGGAAAGTTTTTTTTTCTAGGAGAAGATAAAATTTAATTCCTACTCACCTAAAAAAGCTCATTTTAATCCAAATAGCCCAAGCATTATGTATCACTGTACGTGGAATAAATAAATACTCCATTTCACCTATCCTTTGAAACAAGTAACAAGTGAAGTCAGAAACCAGCAACAAAAGGCAGAAGAATTACTCACCCTTTAATATTTATGAAGTTATTTTGTGGATAATTTCAAGTGTTTCCTCCTTTGGAAATCACAAATCATATGATAATCCTCCGAATTTATGTTAAGTTCCGAAATCATTGAAGTATCTGCAAGGAAAGCATGAGCGATATTAAAAAAAACAAGTCCTTACAAAATGTTCTGCATTTGCATAAATAAGTAAGATTTAATGATAATGATACTGACCATTTAGATTACTTTCCCCCTGTATTACTTGTCGATTGTATGCAATATATGTTTCGTTTCTTACTAAATGGCAATACTAAACAGCCGAATCTAGTAACCAATTAAATATTGAATTCATGATGACCCTTTACCGAATAATTCTGGCGTTCAATTCTAATCGAATTATTTTGCGTAAACACCAAGCTACATAGAAACATTATCATTTATGGTACAGACTGTTTCATTGTTGAGTTAGAACAAAACGGGAGTCAACTAACCTTATATTGGCAGGTCGCTAGATACAGTGTTTGAACACACATATATCACTCAGAATAAAACACAATTTTTAATTCGACACTCACGTTTTTTTCTTAATTACACGGATTTAAACTACAAAATGATGAGATTTTATTCCTTTCATGGCTATATCCCCCTCTTACTCAAGTAGGAGGCAAGTGCCAAAAAGTGAGGAAATCTGCTCCAAAACGACGACAAACTGCTATACTGAATATTACCAAAGAAGTAACTTCGGTTTTATTCGGCTCGACTGGTGGGGAACACGGCCACAAGTGGGGATTTCGGAGAGTGGGGGTTACGGCCGAGGTTACTCCTCTGACAATATTCACTATACATGCCATAGTGGCCATATTCAGTTCAATGTGCTGGAATCGGTATTTGGAGCATAAAAAAATGTTTATTGTCTACCTCCTACTCCTATGGAATTAGGACATATTTACTGACTATCAATTAGTAGTACACGATTTGTCAGTGATTCGTGATAACAAAATTATTAAACTATAAAGTGACGTGGAGAGAATGCGAGAAAATAGCTCCCCACCGCCATATTATAATCTCTGCCATCGCCTTCTCCAGTGTGGATGGAGAATTAATTGTTTGCATTTTACGATTACTTCTCCAATTGATTTTTATAGGCCATCAATAATAAACAAACGATTCCCCAATAATTATTGATGAAAACATTTAAACAGCAGAGACGGGGATCTAATAAAAATTGTATTGGGAAATAAGTTTTGGAATCAAATTTTAAAAGAAATTATGAGTGTCAAGCGTTGATTATTAATGAGCAAGCATAACTCGATCAAATGAACAAAAATTGGAAAAATCGGAAAAGTCTTGGCGAGGGGGGGGGGGGGGCTAATTACACGGAGCTAAACAACTGCTAATGCCTTTCAATACATACATTCCATCAAGTTTACAATGTCACCTAACTACTTGCAAGTATTCAAACTATGTGTAAGTCTAATGAATTCTACCTGATACATCAAGATTATTTATGAAAATATTTTTCAACGTGTTACCTACGACTGATGTTCAATATTTCTTTTTTTTTACACTTCACATAATAAAGCAAGCAGTTTCCTAAATATTCTCTTTCCTCTCCAAACCAATTTTCCCACATCGCTGCGGCGTCATAATCCAGAGAATTTGGATTTCGTATCATTCAAATATTATACTAATATCAAGTCCTCTAGGCATGCGCACATTTCTGCCGTTCAGTGACTCCACGTTTCTGCCATTGAACACGCGCTTACGATAAGATTTCGGGCTAACTGTATACAGTATACTCAAGTCGAATAAATACCAACGGAACTCCCCTTTGGGATTTTCAACCCGTAGAATTTTTGTCATTCTTTCCTAGACATCAAAGTTATCGAAAAATATCCAATAATTTTGAACCACTGATTGTATTTTACTACTTCGAACTTTACGACTAATTTAATATGAAAAATTAACAAAATACCACAGCTCAATAAAAGATTATTAGGTATAGTATCTTCTGACGAATTACGCTCAATCGTGACGGGAATATTATTTACAAACAGTTATTTTGGTGAGGGATTCCATAACTGTTGCTTATTAATCCTCATTTCATCGTGGAAAATAACGTAAATGCAATTGAAATATCGAATAATACTAATACAGAGAAAATCTGTAATGATTTTTTTTTCACGTTGCTGGACTTTCTTCATTCAACTTTACTGACTGGTTTAGATATATAATATCTTCATTGCCGGCTACCGTTAACTGACGGATTTGAAGTGTTATAAAATTGAAACTACGTCGCATATTAATCATTTTGAGGCGGTGCACCGTTTATAAAGCCCCAATTAAGCCCTTCGGAAAAGTTGGCAACTTGACTTTTTGGAAAGCTCATAAATATGAAAAAGCTGGTTAGACCGTGGAAATGAATTTGAAAGTTGGCGGGTTAAATCCGTGGTGCGTGGCTAGTGGACCCCGTGGCGCGTTGTTGTGATCTAATATGGCGGAACGTAGTGTTGTGGCTATTGAGTGTCTATGTCAGTTTATTGAGATATAAAATTCACTATCGCAATGACAGGGTAATAACAAAAAACGATTAACCACAATATTAACAAGTGTCGATACTAGATTGAGACGATTCATCAAGCTGGAAAATCTTTGAGCCCACGTGACCGCGAGTGAGATCGTCAGAGGGTTCGTCACAATTTCTTCTTCCCAATCCAATCGTATCTCTTGCCAGAGCACAGCGACCGCTGTTAATTGTACTAGTGCACATAAACTAATCACCAATTACAAAAAAAACATCTAATTCTCTATTTTGTCATTCATTTCGGTGAACGCCGGTCAACGTCAAGGATAAATAAATGATGAATATGAGAGAGTAATTTATCCTTATAACTATTATGATTATTTGCGTGGAGTGAAACGAGTAGATGAATTTAAAGAGTGCCAAATTAAAATTAGTCAAATAAAACGAACGTTTTTGACATTTTTAATAATATAAATAAATGAACTAATAAATTGGTTTTTATTTCCCGCGTATGGAACTATAGACAGAACAATATATCCCTTAGACTCTCTGTCTCTCTCTTCCTCGGTCCTTCTCTCTCAGTTTTCTTTTGGTTGCAGATGTGTGTACTGTAGTTGTATATATATACAAATCCTATATATGCAGAAATATTTCTTATGCGAGTGTGTGTGGCCAGTTCCACAGAGGACTTATGCAACTTGCGCATATAAACATACTATTGTTGTAAATAAACAAAGAAGAGAAAACAACCCCAAGTAGTTTTATTTGTGAAAAAAGGGTGAAGAGAAAAAAGTGAGTGATTCCAGTGAAATTAATGAATTCAGGATTAATAACTCTGTACCGAACATAATAATAATAACAACTCCCAGCATCGAATATTACAGTGAATTTATAATAATTTATTTGGTCGCTGGAGGATTTAAGATTATTGTTAACTTTAGAGGAAAACTGGGTGAAGTGCCATCAAGTGAAGACACAAGTGGTGGTGCATCTTTTGGCCTCGATGACAATCCTCAAAGACGCTGAATGTCAATGTGGATATTATCACAATTATTTCGGATATAATGATAATAGTATAAGATGCCCATAATAACAAGAGAGACAGATTAGTCATTTTTTTCAGTTTATTTATTTATCACTTTTTTATTGGAGTTATTTTTGTAAGAAATAATGTATCTGCGTTTGGGCAGAACGAATCGTGTAATTTGTTTAGTTTGACTGACTCGAGGGCTTCATTCATTGAGAGTTGATAAAAGTGGACAAGAAGAATTGATTGATTTTTTGCTTGTCGTTGGAATTAGGAAGTTAGAATGACGGATACAAGGAGGAGAGTCAAGCTTTATGCACTGAATGCTGATAGGCAGTGGGATGACCGTGGTACTGGTCACGTGTCCTCACCGTATGTTGATCGACTCAAGGGGATCTCGCTGCTCGTCAGAGCCGAGAGTGATGGCTCGGTTCTTTTGGAAAGCAAGATCCAGCCGGATACTGCATATCAGAAGCAACAGGTAACGTTCATTTTCTTATTCCGAATTACCCATAACAAAATAATTATAACAGAGGACAGGATAATTCGAGTTTATCCAGTGTTTACCTCTTCTTTCGCAAAATCATTCTTCACAAAATTATTCTACAATGATTAAAACAAAATTCACCATTAATAATAATCATACGTAGTATACAAATATTTAGATATTTTAAATTTAAAATCATACGTATAACTCAAATTATTAAATTGCTCCACAGTTATGTTTTTTTTCTCTTAGTATATTTCTCCTCAACTATTATTGGTCGTATATTCTCATCATTTAGGTAAAAGATTGTCAAGATGGAATTAACAATTCTCTCAGGAATGCCTATTAGCTCATCGATTTTTCACGGAAATCCATTTTTTGAAAAATAATGTTTACGCAGTCTGAATGTTAATATTTTTCGTGGGATACGATTATCTGTTTTTTAAGGCCCGGCATAAAACAAACATACTCTTGCTTATCTACTCAAAAACCATACATATAAATGGACATGATTAGCATTGAGATCCGTACGATCTCGAACCACGTAAGATTTTGTGTGGAGTTGTCCACTTAGGTTAATGAACATTACGCAGAATAAAGCTTTAGTTTGTTCACAAATTCAAATGAATGACTGGATGTGCAAGATCTACTCTTCATTGGGCACTGATATATGCGTGAAGTTGATTAAATTTTACGCGCCAAGTCCGAAGAGAATATGTCCAAATTAGATCCATGAGTAGCGCGCATTGCGGTTTTCACCCCTACATGCTTGTCATCCTCGCCTCATGGTAGAGGATTACCTGTTTTTCACGGCTCCGGTATGAAATGTGCTATTGTCTTGTACCTTCTCTGCTTCAGACTTTTAATATATTCTTCTGACCGTTGAAAAACACTTCTTTTCGGCCGAGTGACGAACGATATTTTTTGTCATTTAGGACGTAGGCAGGGTTTTTCAACTGCGTAGTGGTTGTAAAGCATTGCCTCACGGACTGAGTGACAAAAATATTATCATTACCAAAAAGGTAATTAGACAAAAATGGATTAACATGAATGCCGCTTCTTCCATAGTTAACCTGTACTGATCAATACGCGTTTCTGAACTAATCGATTTTTCTCTGTAAAGCTAAAGAATTCTCCTATATTTTCGGCAAAATAAGAAAATTTGCTACAAGTTTCTGTTGTCAAATCATTGGGAAACCCGTAATTTTTAAAATTATTTTAGGAATTTTGTCTGACTGTGTAGAATTTCTCATAAGTTTCCACTTTCTATACTCCAGCATGCAGTAGGGCATGCAATAATTTGTAGTGGAAGTTATAAATAGGCATTTTAGAGTAATTAATTATGAGCATTCCATGACACCTCTACTTGCTCTAGTTTATATACCAAAGACGAGAAATTAATGGATTCACATTGAACGTTCCTCCTTGTCCTATCAGATGAGTTCTTTGATTTCTATTGGATGTTATGTTTGAAATATAAGCAAAATAAATAGCCGTGGTATGTATCCTTGTGAATATCAAGAGACTCTCATCGTATGGTTGATAATAAGCGAGATAGAGAGCAAGAGAGTTTGTTGTATGTTCTTTGAATCCCCAAATATTTTTCGACTTAATCCCTACTTTAAATGTAATAAATGTTGCAGGACACTTTGATAGTATGGTCAGAAGGTGACAATTTCGACCTGGCCCTGAGTTTTCAGGAAAAAGCTGGTTGCGACGAGATTTGGGAAAAGATTTGTCAAGTTCAGGGCAAAGACCCGTCTGTTGAAATCACCCAGGATATTGTCGAAGAGTCGGAAGATGAACGTTTTGATGACATGTCGGACTCAGCTCCTCCAATCGAACTTCCGCCATGTGAACTCTCTCGTCTGGAGGACATTAACGAACTGATTGGTAATTGTCTTTCGACTCCAGTGCGAAAAGAAAAGCTCGCAATGGCCCTCGAATCTGAAGGCTACATAAAGAAACTTCTAAATCTGTTCCACACATGTGAAGATTTGGAAAATATCGAGGGCTTACACCACCTGTACGACATCTTTAAAAATATATTTCTATTGAATAAAAACGCCCTGTTCGAGGTAATGTTCTCTGAGGATGTAATATTCGACGTAGTCGGCTGTCTTGAGTATGAACCAACTCTGACCCAACCAAAAAGACACCGGGAGTATCTCCGCCAGTTAGCAAGATTTAAACAAGCAATACCAATAACAAATGCCGAACTTTTGGCTAAAATTCATCAAACTTATCGTGTCCAGTACATCCAAGACGTTGTTCTACCAACTCCAAGTGTGTTCGAGGACAATATGCTGAGCACACTGAGTAGTTTTATATTTTTCAATAAAGTCGAAATTGTTACATTAATTCAGGACGACGAAAGATTTCTGACAGAACTATTTCGACAATTGACTGACGAGTCAACATCAATCAGCAAACGACGGGATCTTGTTTTGTTTCTTAAAGAATTTTGTAATTTCTCCCAGAATTTACAACCACAGGGTAAAGAGGCATTTTACCGTACTCTTACAGCTCTCGGAATACTTCCAGCTTTGGAGATAACTCTAGCTATTAATGATGCACAAACGAAGACAGCTAGTATAGATATCCTAACTTATATTGTGGAATATTCACCAAGTGTCGTCAGGGACTATACTCTTCAGCAGATTAATAATACTGAGCCTGATCAGATGTTGATCAATGTCATTGTGGCACAATTAGTTGGAGATACCGATCCTGAACTTGGTGGGGCTGTCCAACTGGCTGGGGTTCTTCGTCTGCTACTCGATCCTGAGAACATGATGGCCACTGTCAATAAAACCGAGAAGACTGATTTTCTCAACTATTTCTATAAGAACACCATTGTGACACTTATCGAACCATTATTGGGAAACACTGTTGGAGATAAACCAGTCAGAGAAGACTACAGGACTGTTCAGCTGCTTGGGTTAATACTCGAGTTGCTCTCATTCTGTGTGGAACATCACATGTATCAAATTAAGAACTGCATTTTGAACAAGGATCTGCTTAGAAAAATACTTATTTTAATGAAGTCCACACACACGTTTCTAGTATTATGTGCGCTGAGGTTTATGAGAAAGATTATTGCACTTAAGGATGAATTTTACAATAGGTACATTATTAAGGGAAATCTTTTTGCTCCTGTGTTCGATGCTTTTGCGAGAAATAATGGGAGATATAATCTACTCGACTCGGCCATTCTCGAGATGTTTGAGTTTATCAAATTGGTAAGTTTATAAATATTTTCTAAGTAGATACGCACCTCGGGAAAAGTCTAATCAGGCATTTTTCCATTGGATTTGTATTCTCATTAATTATTAAGATTAATTCATTATTAAAAAACTAGTATTGAGGCCAGGAAGGACGATCTATTGAACGTAATCTTTTGTTTAAATTCTGTCTTGTTAGTCTAAAATCTATTAAAATTTGGGATCAAATTTGTGCTGGAGAACCACTTGAATGGTTATAGAAAAAACGGGGAAGAATTCTTGAATGGTGCTAAGTTGCGATATTGATTGAGAGAGATTTATCATTTTACAATATAACAATAAAAAATACACAGCTTACTATTACTCTCCACTGGATTGAGTGACAGCTACACTCACAATCACTAGAAAATTTCCTGACTGCCTACTGACGAAATGTACTATAATCATTTTCAAAATGTTTACTTCTGCGACGAAAATTAAACAAAAAATTTCATTTCAAATTTTTAAAATAAAGTAGAATTAATTATTCACATCTGCTTTACGCCAATAAGGATCGTGATGTAGCTAAGAATATTCGCATGAAGTTCAGGGCCTTGTTTGTTTTCATTCCTCAATGTTAAAGTTATATTCCGTGCAATTTTTTCAGAATGCTTATGTATTTACTTGTTCATTTTTAGGAGGACATAAAATCGCTGTGCTCTCACGTCGTGGAAAATTTCTCGAAAGAATTGGAAACAATTGATTATGTACAAACATTTAAAGCATTGAAAATGAGATATGAACAACATCAAGATAAACTTAAGGACCGGGATAGAGCTACGCTTGAAAGGTAAAATGGTGTTTTCAGCATTCGTTAGGAATGCCCCTGATAGGACAGTCCCACAATTGAGTCTGAGCTCACTGTGGCTTCCATACAAAGGAATCAGAAAGAAGAGGGTGACACTCAAAGAAATTTCCGTGAAGTCAGTTCGGATTATTGCCAATCTTATGTATATAATTGGCGATTTTGGGTATTCCCGTGATAATATCGGCTTTCCAAAAAGTGACTAAATCAAGGTTTTCATCGACTCAATTATATTGTTCATACTGCTCAATCCGTACTCTGACCCCAAAGTATATTTTAGATTTTTTTTGTACTTAAATTTGTTAATGGGCAGAAAATTTAAGAGTTTTAGCGTAGAGCATTTCTACTCTAAAACTCTTAAATTTTCTGCCAAGACCCGGATTGATCTTCTATTGAGCGCGATATTTTGTTTGAATTTTATCCTGTTAAAATGATTGATTAAGAAGATGGGTGTCTAACAATTCAGAAAATAACTTTTCGACGAATTATGCCTTTGTTCCCATATATTGAAAAAATGAACACCAAATAATGTTGGCCAGAAATACAATACATCGAAAACATTAGCAAAAACTCTAGAGGATTTTTCCGGTTTTTCTTTCAAAAGTTTTTATTCTTTTGTATAAAGTAGTTAAAAGTTTAGTTTGTTAAAATATGACAGATGGGTGTAAACTATGAACTCCGTAAGTGCGATGACAGTTGGTCCCTTCAATCCGTAATTCACATCCTCTACTTCTGTTTGAGCACTGTTTTTGCTTCCGAATGGAAGCTTTGTAATCGTTCAATTTTGACATCATCTAATTTTCATTGGAAATGATGCAGAATGGTCTGAAACGTAAAAATACGAAGTTTGGCGACCATGCCTGTAGGCCCCTCCTTTCGCCGATTTTTGGAAATGAAATTTAAAAAAATACGACAATAAGAGGACAAAAAAAAGTCCAAAAAATATGAAATTTTGTCAAATTATAGGTCCTACTTTGGACTAACTCTGGCCGTAGAATCCGCTCGATCAGTCCAATTGTTCCCGAGGAAAAGCCTTTTCTTTTTCAAACATTTTTTGTAAATATTTGCAAAACTAGTCGGCCGATTGAAATATTCTTTCTTTTAAAATGTTCGTCTCGATGGCCCCTGTCTAGATCACTCAAAATCTATATAGCCTTCGGTATAAAGCTTCTCAGACATTTCCACATTTCCTCATAGCCTCCGCAAAAATGGATATATCATTTTGAAATTTTGAAAACATTTTCGTCCTTTGATAGGGACTGTTCCGATTTCATTAATTAGCGCAGTAGTTCTGGAGATATTCGATTTTTTGTGTTAATCAATTAGGTCTCATATCTTGAAAATGAGTGGGCCAATTTAACTCCTTTTTGCTTCCGAATGGACGCTTTGAAATCCATCTATTTTTCGATTTCTCAATTTTGCTTGGGAACGATGTAGAATGGTTTGAAACGTAAAAATACGAAGTTTGATCAAGTGGTCACGTTTTTGAAAATTGTAGAATTAATCGGCTCAAAAAATTCAGAAAAATTCGTCATTTCGTCAAATCATAGGTATTAATGACGACTGTGTGCCAAATTTCAGCCCAATCTATCCAGCTGCTTTTGAGAAATTCTCATTCCTTTGTAGCTCTAATTTCTGGAATATCTCAAAAACTATCCAACCGATATGATTCTTTCCCTTCTCAAAATATTTGTCTTGATGTGGGCTATAACAAGCATTAAAAATATATATACCGCTTGGTTCAAATAAAAACCTGAGAGATTACAGCTATTCTATTCGAAAGCCAACCATCAATGAAATGGATGGCAAAATAAAATTAAAAAAAAAATAAATATCATGTGAAGTAAGAATCGTATTTCTTCTACCGTTAGGAATAGCCAACTGCTTGTTTTTTTACACAAGTGGGATGAGAAGATAAAATACGCGAAGAAAGAGTCCTGCAGACAGCTTTTTTTTACAACATTTTGGGTACATTGCGTGCCGTGTATGTTTTTCACGATTTGTTCCAAAGAATGGGAAAAAATTAGGGGTTCCAAGAGAATCACTTGATTTTTAAAACACACTGTCTGGGCATGCCTCACTTGCACTCCAGGCCAGATAGTACTCTATCTTATTGGATTAAATATTTAAATAAACAATTTCCTTATTCAGAAAACTCAGTGTAACATTTTCCATAATTTCTGATCCATTAATTCATTTGATAAATATTATTAGAATTCATTTAGTTTTTTCAATTATTATATGTACGGCATATTCATAATATGTCGAGTATGAATACATACAAATGAAAGTAACAATAACAATTAGCGGAATAAATGCTTTGAAAAACGTTATACTGAATTTTTTAAAAGCGCATTCTCTATCCTTCCAACATTTATGATAATCTTAATATTCATTTTAATTTTCTAGTGTACCATCAATTTTACGGAATAGTCGATACCGTCGTGATCAACGGCAGCTTGACGAAGACGAAGAGATGTGGTTTAATGAAGAAGAGGATTTTGATGAGGGCGAGGCGGTGGTACCCGCTGCTGCTGCGGATCTAGTACCACCAGCGTCAGCCAAAAAGCAATCAGCTGGTCCAAACTCAGGGCAAAATCCGAATCCTATTCCAGTTGAATCGAAAAACCAGCAGCAACAAGGCCAAACGGGCCTTAATAATAACACTACCAGCAATATTCTGGTTACACAACAGTCCCAGGTTCACAACAGCAGTAGTCTGTCTACTGCAAATGAATCCCCCATTTCATCTGGAATCATTAACCCATCTACTGATAGTGTGGAAAAACCTAGCACAGCTGTTTTCAAAAAGGTAAATTTTTAATTCATTTTAATGATCATTCAGTTCATGTAGATATTCAGATATTTTTCATTGATCCTCAAGAAAGCGGCATATTTTAGAAAAATGAAAAAATTCTGTCAATTTGATACGAATATTACCCAAATAACATCACCGAGGTCGGTAGTTTGACAAATATGTTAAATTCCACCAAAAGATCTTGTTGATTATGAAATTAGCAATAACAATGGTCCCGCACCTTTCTTTATAAATCGATATTTGATTCAATAATTTGTGGCTGAAAGAGTTGGGTGTAAGCAGTGCGGCTGAATGGAAGTGTTACATCGGTTATATGTTTCATTCAATGGATTTTTTGTTTCTACCTATATTTTATTTCGTTTTTTTTTAAACCTTTTTTTTTCAAGCCCTAATGGAAGACTAGACTGTCTCATCGAGACTTTTTTGTTTAACCTTAAACTTTGTTGCAAAAATGGATGCATGTTGAAAAAAAATAATTAAACAATACAACAATACAGATTTGAGAATTTTCGTGGGCCAATTATTTTAATAAAAAGGAAATCGAGAATTTTTGATGTGATAGCACATTGAGGAGAGGGAAGCGAAGATTCTACGAGATAATTAGCAGAAACCCGAGAATAGAATAAAGATAATTGAGATGGAGATCAGCTTTCATTTTGGAAAAACAAGCAGTGAAGGGGGTAGTAAGACGGATGCAAACACAAATCATTCCTATCGAAATATAAAAGCATTATCATTCTGGGGCCTGTTTTGATTATTCCGCAATGAGATTTGTGGCCACAAAATGTTAAAAAAATATTGTCAAATGCATAACACTTTTTCTTCAATTAGTAGTATGTACGTTGTCTACGAAACCATTGGTGTTTGACTAAAGGTTGCTGTCGCACAACAGCCTTCATGGCAAAGTTTGCACTGTAAAACGGCTAGCTTACAATATCTTGACACTCACTTAAGGAAAGCTAAAATATAACTATGTATTTTCCATTGTAACTTCACTTTTATACCTGATAAGTTACAAAAATATATAACACAACAGCCTTAATTCTGCCCCCCCCCCTTCTGCCCTTTTTCTTCTTGGTGTATTAAAGTGACTGCTGATCCACACCTCAATGATGCATTTCTTATCCTAAGACTTGCTGATGATGTCGAAAGAAAAGTGTAATCAAGAAAACTGTCACAATATTAAAGGTATAATGACAGCATTTTCTTAATTACGTTCATTAATCACATTTACATTGACAAAGAAATATTTTTTACGAAGTTTGTTTGTGCTCATATCTACAAACATGTATTAAAAAATTTCAAAGAAAATGATATTTTGTATTGAGAGAGAAAAAATAGTCAAGAGATTTAGTACTTATCCAAAAGATAACGTTTTCGAATAGCATGTTTCCATTTGTACGGATCACTCATTACTCAAAGATTAACAACAAAATCTATTTATTTTACTGTAGAGAAGGAAAAACTTCTGTTAAGATATTATGCGCTTACTTGAAAGATCATGACAATTTTTTCGTTATCAAAATGTGATTCCTTAAACCAAGTCTAGCTAATAGAATTTACTCACAAGTCTTTGTTTCGTTAATCCAAAAAATTCCAATGCACAAATTTGGATGATTCTCAAGAAAATAGATCTTAAGTCTAGAGTTAAATATCTTCTTAGCTAATCTTGCCTACTTACAATATCAAACATTGTAGTATTATGAATATCCAAGTGTTTTAGCGATATTTTGTCGGAAAAACTGTTTTTACAGTTTTTAGAATAAACCTAAAGTCTTTGCTTTGCTTTACACGGGAAAAACCTTCGTTTCCGAAAGTATTTGCAAGTTTTTTTTTCGAAAATTGAAATTTAAGACATGAAGTCCATAGAGCTGCATGCTCTCATCTTTAATTCAATAAATCGTAGTTTTAGAGCGTTTTCTCGTACAGACAACCAGTGAATGATTCTGCTCACTATCCTTTTGAGTTTTTATTGGGACATTGAAAAACTTAAGTTTCCAGACAAATAATTCGAAAAATAGAATTGAAGAATTATCGGTTCGTACTGCGGCCATATTGCATGGTTTGAATCCGTGCGTTCCTGATGTATGGAAACGTTTCGCTCAAATTACTGTAGGGCAGTCATGGGCAATGTCGAAACGTCGGGAACCCTGGGGAGGAATTCTGCACCGCCGTATACTTGGCGCACGCATTAATGGAAATCATTAATTAACCTATGAAATAATTTGGAGATAGTTTGGGGAAATTTAAGGAGTACATTTCATAATTTGGGAAGATCTCGTTAATTAATTATTAATTTTTTTAAATTAAAGCGTATAGTTAGCGAAAATTTCGTATTTTTATTTCTAACTTGGGAATTACGTAAAATCATTTGGGGAATCGATTTCTGTAGGTTTCATAATTTTTGGAATTGATAAAGAGTTGATAATTAAGAAATTGAATAATTACATCCATTCCCAGCCCTGCGCATGCGTGCATGCACACCCGTTTCCTTCCTTCGTTATCGACACTCGTTTAAAAAAAGTTGAATATTAATCATAGTAGAATTGTTAACTAATTTTATAGAGAGGATAAATCCAGTAACAACCGAATATGAATCAGAAAGCAAACTTCGATTACTAAGTTGTTGAAATAGCGATAAATTGGTTTGTCATTTATTTTCAATTTTATTCGTTTTTCTTTGTAAAAACATTGTAGAGAAATGGGAAGTAGGGGAAAATTTAATTCAAACAATATACAGATAACGTCATTTCTCAAAGAGAACAATAGTCAATTAGAGTGGAAATCATTCTTCCATTTCTCTGTTTTTTCTCGCCAAAAATTCAAAATAATGTGATTTGTCAAATGAAAGTAAAAAATTAAGTGCTGAAAAAAAAGCAATGGGAAACTGAATGAAACATAAATTTTTTGTTTCATTTGTTAATTATTAACTTGTTCGATTATTTGAAAAATGCAATTTTCGAAATAAAATTGAAAAGTAATGGAATCGAAATATTTCTGTCTCATACGCTTATGGTTTTTTCATAATTTGGTGTAATTAATTACAAAAATATTGGAAAAAAGTCCAAAATTTCTTGAAAGAAATTATAAATCCTGTTTTTTTGTGTATCAGTGAAATATAACAGGAAAACAACGATCTTTTTATAATAATAACACAGCAAGTAAATAACTGACAAAGAAGTTTGAAGTTCAAAAAAATGGGAAAAAATTGAGTGGAAATCAATATGAATAAGTTCATTATTTGATTTTCGATATTTCCAAAACTTAAACCTTTTCCGTTCTCTCAGAAATCTTTTTCTTTCTTCCTGTGAATTCAATTTTCTATTCTTCAAAACAATTTTTTATTTTCCAACTCATAAAAAAAGAAGAAATATAAAATTTTGTTAAAGAAATCAGGAAAATGTGGAAAAAAATTCACAGTTCTCGAACAAAAATTGAAAAATGAAAAAAAATTGAAAAAATAACAGATATTACTATGTCATTGCTAATGCGTTTAAATAATCGTTTATAACTAAAAAGAAGAAAGAACCACATCTATGACTCTTCATAATTGAATTTATTTCCAATAGTTTCAATAATGAAGACATCAGTACTGCTGTTGAAATTAATGTAAAAAACAAAAAAATTTCAACTTGAAATAAAGATAATTATTGATCAGCTCCTTACAGGTAAGAAATTATCAAACCAAGTTTTACTCAACTTATCAATAATTTAGCTTTAATAATACTCTCAGAATGTCAATCTCAATATTTAAAAAATCACATTAAAATTCATTAAAATCACATTCATCACAGTATTTGGATTCTAATGACTATACATCGTATAATATTTTTTATCGATACGACTTTTTGACTTCATCGGTTTATGAACGTAGTGCACAGCATAAGTTTTCCTTATCTTTACTCTATCTATCGTACTTAAAATAATTAATATTTCTGAATTAAGTGCCTTAGGCCGTTTTTATCCAATTGTTGAGGATTTATTGCTTATCAAAAAAGTTCCCAAAACTCTTTTATAATTCTCATTATCACAATCATTTTCATATTAATACTTCCCCTGTAAACACAATAAATACTAAGAAGAGAAAGAAGAAATATTACTCCAATAATGGCATCGCAAGGAATGGAGAAAACGAAAAAGAAATAAGGAAGAAAAGAACAGTGCGGAGAAATCACGTGATAGGCAGTATAGTTACATGGCAATAATGAACCGATTTATTAATTATTGAAATTTTCGCAATTTTTCAAATTAGAAAAACAGTTGGGATCAATTCCCCAAATAATTCTCCATTAAAAAAAAAAGGAAGATTTCGCTAACTATACACTTTAATTGTTAAAAATTCATAATTAATTAACCAGGTCTCCCCAAATCATGAAGGCTACGCCCTAAATTTCCCCAAATTATTTCCTAATTATTTCATAGGTTAATTAATGATTTCCATTAATTAGTGCGCCCGATGACGAAGGATTGAACGGGCATACATGCACGCATGCGTAGGGCTGGAAATTGATGTAATATTATTTAATTTATTAATCATCAACTCTTTATCAATTCTCCGAATTATGAAACCTACAGAAATCGATTCCCCAAATGATTCTACGTAATTCCCAATTTAGAAAAATAAAAAATAAGAAATTTTCGCTAACTATACGCTTTAATTTTTAAAAAATAATAATTAATTAAGGGGATCTCCCCAAATTATGAAACTCACTCACTAAATTTCCCCCAAACTATTTCCAAATTATTCCATAGATAAATTAATGATTTCCATTAATTTGTGCACCAAGTATACGACGGTGAATTTTGCGCGTTTTATGTCAACATAAAAATTTCTATTTTCGCTTCCGTCAGGTGGCGCGTTTGCAGTATTTATGTTTCATTTCAATATAGGTTTAGGAACGTTTGTTTAGCCCATAATAAGGAGTGGGGTGAGGATTACAGCATGGCCGCCGTGCGTTTACTTCAGTGCTTCAAAATTATCAAATTAATTGTAAATTGAAATGAAACTTGGAGAGAAAAAATTTAGCAACGATTTATCATTAATTCAGTACTTAAAATTAATTTAAGCTCTGACTTTATAAGGAGCGGCGAGGCATAAGGGCTCTGCTCCAACAAACAAACACTCGTAAACCTATTTGCATTAAGCGTAAATACTGCAAACGCACCACCTGATGGAAGCGAAAGAATCAGTTTATTTGTCAATATAAAAAGCGCAAAATTCCTCCCCGGCTGATAAAACCCTATTGTTCAGAATAGAATACTTCAATTGCGTGAGGCCCAGTGTAGTCAGAGTTAAGAGTGCCGCGCGCTCACCCTCAAAATTGAAACAAAAACTTAAAAATTCACAGTCACATTCACATTTCGCCGATTCAACTCGAGAAGGCTACCCTCTCAATAAAATAACCTTTCGACATGGACATCTTTTGGATAGATTTAACATTAATCGGCGCCGCCACTGGGTCTGGACTATCCATTTTCCTCTTCCTATGTAAAAGAAAGATGGATATTTATATCGACTGGAGTCGAAAGTCTCGAATGTTGAAGCCTAAAATCTGCCAGACTCATTCTTCACTTCATTCATTGGTCACGACTTATACTCATTTCCACTCATACTTCATCTTTTATTGGCACGCATGTACTGTACACAAAATTTTCTTTCATTGACGCGTATGTCCTGTGCTATGCACGAAATTTCTCATGAACCATATACATACGTCATCTATCTGAATTTACTTCAAGACAAGATTGTTCCAAATTTGTAATGCCTGAAAAATTCAGAGTCTGGCTGACTTATCAGTAATAATAAGGAGGAAATTTCATATGAATTAGTTGTGTTTAAACATTCTAGGGTGTTCCTATAAAATTTCGGGAGTAATTTTTTAACAGTATAACCTTACAGATTAATAATCTGTGACAGACACATCGTCATGTGCTCGCAAGCCCGCATCCGGAGTCTCGTTTCAGTAAAATCCTGATAAATTTTATATTGAGAATATCCCGGGATCCTTTCTTACCTTATCTACATCCTATCCTACAATATCCTGTAACGCCACAAGAATGTGGAACGCTATATGAAATCCATTCTTTGTCGTAAAAATAGGAACTACTGCAAACCATACGAGTCACCATTTCAATTTATAAAAATCCCATTTCAGAATTTCATATTAATAAAAAATTATCGATAGAATACAACACTGTTAAAATATTCTCGGTAAAATTTATCGTAGCGTTAGGCAGGTAAGTTTACCCACCCTTGATTTAAAATGCCTTGGTCCAAGACTTGGAAAGGGATCATTTGAATCTGCCACAAACAATTTTAGAGATATTGAAAAGAAATTCCTCAGGAATATGCTTTCAGTTAAACTTTTTTGGTTTGATAGCACGCATGGAGATAATTCAACGAAAAGTATTATCGTATTCGCCAAATAATTATATTGCATTTCTATTAGATTTCTATTAAAATTATATCAGTTTGTGATGAACTTTTAGAAAAATGATAACTCTGTCAACATTTTTTTTTCTTGCTGAAAATTTAGCTGGGGCTTTACCTCATCACGTATACAGTGCACAAAAAAATCTAAGATGCAATAGGAGACATTGATTTCTTTCGATTAGTCATTTTGCAGGAAATTACCCTGATTTGAGCCATCAGTCTGGTGCACTTGTGCGGGCCAATCAGGTGCCTTTATTACAAGCATTGCGTATTTCCCGTCGAAATTTGGACTTACCGTCAGAGGTCAATTCTGTCAATGAACATTTTTGGCCAATTAATAGTTACCTCTTAATGAAGGATACAGGATAAAGCGGAGCTGGGCGATTCTGTCTGTACATACACACCTGTTGTTAAGGAAATTCAGTCTGATCTTTTGGAGCTACTATATTTTGGAAATGGTTTTCGGCAATTACTATTTTCCTTCCAAATATTGCGACTCTAAATGTGGAAAATAAAAATTTGTCACGGTCCCATTATATGATAGTGCATCATATAAACCGCTTTTGCCATTGCGCATCATCATTCATCGAAAATCTCGGGCACGCTTGTCATGCATTAGGGGAAATCCTACATCTATCCTTCACTATTTCTATTATTAATGAAAACGGAAAATTAACAAATTTTTATCGATTCTTGCCATAAGTTGAAATTGCATGAGTATTGTTCATATCCCTCTACAATCCCCGGAGTCAGTCAGCCTCAGTGAACTCATTCTTTTACCTGCTAAGGTTATCAATCCTTTTCTCATCGGCACCCTTCAGAATTCTTATCAGAGTTATATTCATTTTCTTAGTAAGGACTATAAAGTTATCCCTCCACTTCAGAATTTTGGACAATTGTTCTGTTTTACTTTTGCTGAAAATATCGTCTGGACACAAAATAATTGTTAAGGGTGATTACCCATCCTGAAAAAACAAACAAAAATCTTTTTCTAATATTGCTGCCTATTTCTAGTAAAAAAAAAATTGATACTTATATTTCAAATTGGTAGAACGTTGAAAATTACCGCCCGATCGCAGGGCCACCAAGGATCAAGGAAAGAGAAAAATTGAATTAGAGCAGGTAGCTTCGTTAAGTGACTGAGGCTCCTCTCATAGCTCTCATTAACGAAACTTGGGAGCCGCTCAACTGTTTCTCAATGTGGTTCTTCTATTGGAACTTCGGGTTGATCTGAACGCCATGTCGATAACTGAGCTCGTGTCCACTGTTTCTGCTCCCCGAAATCTCAGAACAGCTGGAGTTTAGATTAAATTAGATTTTAATTACGCGGATGCTCGGTCTAGCCTCCCCAATGTCACCGAACTCAGATTAGAGTTATTGTAGCTCCGCTTGTTATATCCGCGGATTATATGTCCAGCTCGGCCTTTGTTGCCAGTCTTAACAGATCCGTCGCATCCTTGTTCGCGACTTGATTTGCGATGGGGAAGGCAGTTCCCCACCAGCGCAGTCTTGTCGCTGCTAGAGCCGGACAGTCACATAGAATGTGTAGACTGTCCTCCTTTGCTTCATTACAGAATCTGCACCACCCATCCGAGTCCATGCCGATGACTCTGCAATGTTCTTTAAATCTGCCGTGTCCTGTCAGTAGCCTGATCGCAGTGGCCAGACTTTTCCTGTCCATGGCCAGTAAGTGTTTCGACCTTTTCTTACTGGGGCCAGTAAGATAGATAGTTGATTGATAGTTTCGTCTCGCCACTCCATTCGTCCAGCGTTCATAGAGAGTTCTTTCTTCTATATGCTACATGCGGGCATCTTTTTGTTAGAGGACACCCCCCTGTTTGCTGTTCCATTGTCACCTGCAATCACAGACTTGCTCACCAACATGCTTTATGTCCAGTCAGTGATTGTTCACGAACAATCTCTCTTTAATGTAGTTTTCATTATGAGATCGTATATGTTACGCTCAAAGGCTCCTGCGATGTCCCGAAGTACAGGCGTCAGTCTCTTCGGCGTTTTGAAGACGAGGGAGGTGAGGATATTAGGTTCAAATCTTTTGGCTTGACCCAACCATTTTTCAGGTTTGAGCAAGGGTAAGGAGGTTAGTCGCGATTCTCTGCAGAACTGTGCTGTGGTTCCCAGAGCCATAGTGGGCAGTTTTCACCACTTGTTTGCTTTTTTTTAATAATTGCCGTGTGTTTAGTTAGACAACTTTGTTACATCAATTCATTCGCAAATGTTTTTATGGAATAGAAGAATGTAATACACCAAATAGAATTCATTCTATACATTGCTAGATGTCGGTCGCGAGAAACCAATGGAAAAAATCGTTGAAGAAGAACTTGTTCTACTGATATAAGTGAATCTATTTATGCCGATTTCAACTATATCATTGCTTTCTCTCTACCTTCGAATGCGCTACTCACAAGACAGGTTATAACCCTGCCAAGTTTTTCTTATTACAAATACTAAAATTGACGACATTGCGATTTGAATATCTGTGTATGACAGATGATTTACTAATTCGGCTACGCTACCCCATATGCTAATCTACGAGATGACATGCGAGATGGCTATATGATTATAATTTTGTAAAGGCAGACAGGAGTGACGCCTCTTGATTCGCACCTGCGTCAATTCATATTTTACGCGGCCTATAATACTCATCATAATATAAAATATTATGAGGGTTAAATCCATGGATTTTAAAAAGTCCTGCAAATATCCTTTCTGTCATCTGAACTCTAAGGTAACACCTAATGAGGTTCACTCTGTACAAGAATAAGAAGTAAAGAACGACTGCCGAAGCCAAAGAGCAGAAAATGTTAACATGGGTTTTCCTCAAGGGTCTGAAACAGCTGGACATTTTAATAATTGAATTCTACTATACGCATTGGCTCATTAATTATTTGGAATTTCCAGGGATTGGTGGATTATGAAGGTGATTCAGACGAGGAAGACGAGGATTCAGAGCTCAGCCCATCACCGAAGAGGCAGCGACTTTCATAGTAGACACAATTGCCTTTTTACTGAAAAAAATCAATATAAACACTAATTCCTATGAGAAAAAAAACTCACTCAAGCTGATTCCACATGATTCCGGTTTATTCTTTTTTCATATTCTTTTTGTATTACTTCTCTTTCATCATACCTTTTATCGACGTTTCGAGGCTGCAAATACTGCTTTAATTCAGAAGAAAAAGCGCCAAATCATTAAACCTAATACATTGGACATAACATCCGTTATGTAGAGTGAGAATGAAAGGGGAGGATTTTCTTTTTTTTTTCTCAATATAGTGTGTATAATAGGAGTTTAATTCCTTATCTGTACGAAATTTTATACAATTTCATTGCGGAACCAAACAAATCATTACAGAATAAAAGAACAAACTATGAATAAAGTGAAAAATGATATGGGGCAGCGTATCTTTAAAGATGGAAAGTGTATCAACAGATTCATCGTCAGTGAATGATTCATGTGAATAGAGACAAAACACCGGAGTCAGATGTGGAGAAGTAATTCATTATATGAGTTTGTAAGACAAACGAGGAGATCAACAAGAAAGGAAATTGGTCAGAAATCTTTAGATTATCTTGAATAAGATAAATACTTATTTATGCGCAATCGAATGCCGATGTGTGAAGCGAATAGTGAATTTTTGAAAAAAAAGAAAGAATCAGTAGTTCTCTTTTTTTGCGTTTTAATGTGCCCTACAATGAAAACCAATTCATGTTCTTTAAATTGAATCGAGTAATAATTGCAGAATGAAATTAATAAATATGATTAATATACTTGCGAGGCGGCAATTGTACGTGAGTTTTTCATACTAACTATTGTTTATTGCAGCGACGAAACCTGATAAGGATAATGAAAGGGGTTGATATTCGAGTATTAGGGAGTTTATTTATTATCATTACTATTCCTCACTGCATTGATTATGGAAGGTGACGCATTTTGTGGATAGATTTGGTAGAAATTTTTGGAGGAATCGATGATTGATAATTTTTTATTCATCGGTAAATGTATTGAAGAGGGATTTGGTTTTCTGCGCTGTTCCTTGATGCGGGGAGGATGCATTTGAGGATTCGACTTTTTTTTCTCAAAATAGCTTGATATGGAATGGGTCGAAGAAAAATCTATGAAGAGTTGACCCATACACCAGGAAATTCACAATATAATAGTAATTTATCCTACAACGGATGAAAAGTATTTTGGGAAGGTCTTTTATCGAAATCCGCTCCGAAGGCGCGGATTCTGATCAAATATGTTGCTACAATGCTTTTCAAACCGAAGGTAAGTAAAAAGCAAGGCGATAGGCGGCCACCTACCTACCTACCTAAATGAGGAATAAAAGTACGAGGTCAGGGCGGACCGAGTGACATAAAATACCTTTATACATTTTTCACTTTCTTTTTACCTTTATATACTTTTCAGCCCTTCCAACATAAATTACTACTTTCATTCTTCGTTGAAATGATCGATTATCGAAGTAATTCGATAATTAATCATCATCGACCGAAGGAAGATTCCTGTTGCATTAACTGCGCGAATATCCCGACAATAAATTGTTTCATACGAGAAATTGTCAAGAGAATTTTTCTTGAAAATTAATTTTCTCTCGTTCTTGGATAAACCATTTCCCGTTCAAGATATTTGAGCAATATTTCTTCATCGCTCTCAATAGTCTCGTTCATTCGAAGTTGGCTTCCTCGATATGATATATGAAAAGTCTAAAGCACTTGTTGCTAATTAGTATGTCTTTGCCACACGAAGAAAGCAAGAGATTCCTTATCATATCTACAGTCTACCCAGAATGTTAGATTTTTCTCTCCAAATGGCAGGAGGAATTATGTAATTTCTCCAATTTTTGCAGTGTTCAAGGATTCTTCTCTGCATTTACGAAGAAAATTCAACATTAATCCAATATTACATTACAGTACGTTACCGTGCAGTTATGGCAAAAAATTGAATGTGTATAATATGAAGGAAAACAGAATATTAATTCCCACATGCTTATCAATCCAGGCAATGCATGGACTGGTTGAAATGTCCAGTTTTCCTCCTGTGGTACGAAATAGACTATTTCTACTCTACCACATGACAATAGCGAAAGTTTAATTTCTCTTCTCAAATGATTCTGAGAATCGTTAAAGACCGGAAATACGCAAGGAATAGAATAATCCACTTTCTTTCTGTTAATTGGGGGAAAATACGTGCAACTCTTCGTGTAAATGTAGCGGAAATTATATTCTCGACTCGGCGGACGGAAGTTACTGTTTTTCCTTATAGATATCATCCGCTTTGGTTCGGGTGGTAAATTTGGACGGGATCAACGATCTTCTAATCTGTTCTCATTTTAACAACGTCATGAGTGACGATTTCAACGAATGCGAGTACAAACTTCGCCTTCCACTTGGCTTGTAAATATAATTTCGTCCAGGAGAACATTTAAATCTTCTACTCTAATGCATCATAGTATTTTTGTCCAAATACACATCTCCTTCTGTGTGATTGAAATTTAGTGTAGGAGTGGTGCCTCGATTTCAATTTATCAATCAGACTCATACTTGAAAAGCATTTTAATGACTAAACTAATTGTACGCTGCTCCACTGTCTGAGCCTCAAGGAAAACCGAATACCAAAAATTTCTTCAATAAAAAAAATTGAGATTAAAAATGGAACAATTTTACAGAGAAGATTGTAAGCTTGTGTACAGATTTTTCAACTGATTTAATTAATATAGAAATTGACTCTAAGGATATGCCATAATACCACAGTTTGTGTACTTGATATCCACAGAAGTACTTTGACGACTGTAGCGCACTGATGACGATTATGGTACATTTCCTTAATTTTTCAAGGATACTGATATCATTAACGAGGGATTTTAGACGAAAATGTCTAGAGACCTTTCGGATAATTCATGTAATTATCAATAGAAAATGTCACTTTTTATCTACAATAGAAAAATAACAGAGATTATTTCCTCCAATCTAATCTCGGACAGAGTACAGAATTCGGGATCACATCACACATTTCGCACTGATAATCTCATTGACTAAATCAACCTGAATCAACAGGTTAATTTCTACCACTTTATTAAACAACGTAGGACGTAATTGCTGAAGTAGACATGAACAACATTTAAACAAAGTGCAGAGTGGCAAACGGGAGCAGATAGTGAAGAACAAACACAAAAGTGTCTCACTGACTGTAATTAAGTGTCTACATCACTATAAGAAAGTCAAATTTAAAAAAATGAAGAAAACATCAATCAGAGCAGAGATTAATAAAATAACATTCATGAGACTTAAAATTATGGAAACCCAAAAAGTTATTTGGCCAAATAACTAAAAAGGGTAACCATATACAATATTTCATCGTGATAAATTATATCTTCGCGCAAAATGGCTCAGTTATTGTAGGAAAAAGCTCTGTGTTGATATAACGTTTACAATAATAATGGAATGACAATGAGTAATTAATACTAATTATAATGAATATACTTAACATTGAGGATATGGTACAAGTGCGTAATATTTATTAATGGAAAAATTCGAAACAGTGCAAAAATGGAGAGAAAACCCGATTACGTGGACTATAAGCGGCATAATGATGTACATCAATAAAACACGTTTATTTTTGTAAATAATCATTGATATCTATGAAAAATTCCCTGCCTTGATGGAGAAACAGCAATATTCAATGTTTATTACTAGACCCCGGGACTTCATGTCACTCATTTAATTGGTTTGGCCTAAAATGCTTTCAAGATTATTGTCTACATTAAACAGTGATTCAACACCTTTAACACATTTCATACGAATATGTAAAAAGCTCATGACAAGTTTTCTACCAAGATACACCTTTAAAAAGGAGTTGAAAGAGATGATCATACGGCAAATTTTTGAGTAGTTTGTCTGGAAAAAATTAGGTTAAATAATGGTTTTATGAGAAAATACTAATCAACCTACCGTGTTGATTGATGGTACGAAAACCCCAAGGGGATTTCATTAGTAAAGCGATTGTATTAGTATGTCAACTTGATGTGATCCGACCAATCAATGAATAAATTTATTGATCAGACAAACACCTAGTTAATGAACAAGATTGGGGGCAATTGAAACTCTTGGAATATTCGACAAGAAGTGGCTCGTGACATTTTTCTCTGAACCTTCTCGGAATATCCACAAACAAGAACCCAAATAGTTTTTACCTCATCTAGTTTTGCAAGTCACCTATTCAATGAAAACATGCAACAAAATAAATGAGAAACACAATTTTATCATCGTAAAGTGTTTTTTATTTCGTGTTTCACAAAACACCAATGAACCACTTAAATGATAACAAATGAAAATACTGACACTGCAAGGAACAAGTGGCATTAAAGCAAGAGTATGGCTATGGGAAAGTAATACATGCATTTTAATTCATCTTTTGTTGCTGAACATAATATGCGAAATGAATAATCATTTTTAATGAAATGAAAACATTCTTAAGACATTTCTAAATGTATCTGAATCGCTTTTTTTTATGTGAGTATGTGGTAAGTTAAGAAATACAAGAATTTTTGTAAATACATGACCAAATTCGAGGAAAAAATACAACAAACAATATTTTCCTTCATTTTTAATTTGATTGGAATAAGAATTCGATAGATATGATTTCCTCTACAAATTTGTTTTTGTGTTCTATATTAAAGATATGACGATGATAAATAAAGAGTGATATGGATGAATCTTTTATGAGTAAAAGTGTAGAAGTGCGAAAAAATATTTAATTATAATAAATTTAAATTTAGCAGAATTTCCATGTTTTGTTAATGTTCAATTGTTTGATGTCCCTTAGATATAATCCATGATAGATTCGTCAGCGTAGACTGCTCCAGGAGCTGTCTACGAAAGTAATAACTTATGCTTCGTGGTGAGCACATCTCAAAGTTATAAGGTATTAATACTCTTTAAACATATCTGAAGACAAGTCAATTGATTTTTAAAAACTGTGGGACCCCTAAAATACCAAATTTAGTGCTTGCCAATTAGATTTGCGAAATTCTTAGTTTCAACTTCAGAGGCTTTTGACCTATGCCCCCTACAGGAAATCGGAAGGAAGTTCTCGACGATTAGATGAGAAATTAGATAACCTGGTCTAAATCGAGTGCTTGAGGAGTTTAGTAAATCTTATTAAAAGTTTAATTTTAATTAATTACAAAATTATAATACCAGGACGAAATCTCAAACGAACTTATCTGCGTTTTGTTCAGTTACGCTACCAAATTGTAAAAAATTCAAAGTGCAAGAAATAAACTCGATTATTGAACAGGATCGAAAAACATAATTGAGATGAGAAATGGTTGTAGCTGGTTATGGCCTTTTCTAAATCAAGTAGCGGTTTAATAACCATTTTTAGAATAGATTGTGTTAAACGGATAGGTTAAATGTAAAGTTTTTTTTCCGTTGTGCTTATCATGATTTTTCTTCTGGGAATTGTTACTACATACTTCCCCAACTCGAAAACTTAAAAATCACTACGGAAAAACTGTTGAATTCCAGACTGGTGGGATGGGGTTTTTTTTTTTACTCTTGTGGAGTTTGGTAAGGCGAGCCGAAGGCGAGGTGGCCAACCACACGGGTTAACAAACCCCATCGCAACAGTCCGAAAACATACTATTTCCAGACTGGCGCCGAAAAAACATAACTTTTTGAACGCCACGCGTCCATAAAATTGCATTTCCCAGGGCATTTGGAAATTGCTATTTGCGGTTAACTCAATTTCAGTAAGGTTTAGCAGTTTTTGAGTTTACTCAATTCATGAACAATAAAGTATTATCAAAAAATTGCGGAATATGGATACAATAAATCCTTTTTCAGATGATTTCCAATAAATAGCATTTATATCTCACGGCTTAGATAATGCCGTAATGAAAAAAATCATTCGCTAAATTCCTTTTTTTAACATTTTAAATAATTTTCTCAATAAAGGAATACTTAGGAGAATATCCAAATAAATCAACCAAGTTATTAATTGTAGTTTGACACATATACAGTAATCCCGGGAGCAAGTATTTTCGAAGAGATTTTTAGGAAATCCATTGTCTGTACTGTTGCAGAGATTTTCGTTTGGGAATTGGTGTATTATACTTCCCAAACTCGAAAAGTTGCAAATCAGTAGGAGAACAGTTATTTTCAGGCCTAGCTGTAAAAAACAAATTATAGCCACCTCACGTGCAAGATGGTCAGCCCGTTGGGCAGGGTGATATATTTTTCTCGGCGTGATTTTGACAGAATTTTTCCAGTCTCAACAAATCGCAGGACCTGGAAACCCTGATTTTCCAGAACATAGTGTTCTTTATTAGCCAGTCAGGAAAAATATTGTTCCTGGGCTGTAGTTATGGTGCCTTTTTCTCGTGTGGCACTTTGGTCAGCCGAACCGAAGGAGAGGCGGCCAACCACAAAAAATAGCCCATAACGAAATATTGTTATATTTTAGAATGTAGTAATTCTATTCCTAAAATTTAAAAATCAATTTGTTATGAAGAATTAGATTATAATATTTTTCTTTATTATACTGAATTTTTAAGGAATTAAAATAATTGATCGAAAGGAAGTGCATATCAACGACTCAAGAAAACATCAAAGGCAGACTCAAGAAAAGAGACGATCGAACTTGAACTTAACTTAGAAGGAGCAAAGGAACAAATACAGAACAGTATTAATTTCCACGAAACTTTTGACTTCCTTGGAAATAAATTAAAAACTTAACCGTTTTCAATTTTCAAGTTCCGGTGAACTTAAGAGTATTTTTATTGAGTCTCAATTCTATGAGGAATTGTGCAATTTTCAAATTTTAACTCCTTCTGTACTTAGAATTTGACAATTGCAGAGTAGGTAGTAAGAACTGGATTGGGACAAGGAATTAGTATTGGAATTAAAATTCGTGAATGATTTCTCGACAATGAACGTATTTGGGAATCATTCCTTTTACATGGTGTCTTCTTTCAAGCGACCAATAACGTTGACATACATTGTGTTGTGTCGTGTCGATGCTCGTGTCGAATGATAAAATCTGTCCGCTGATCATTCTGCAGGAGAATTACAGAAAGTTCATAGATTTATATAATTATAAGACCAGGAGAATTATAGGAGTTTGTTGCTATCGATATAGCATACTTCTGGGCGGTTGGAATGGGAATTTTCACGCGTGTGAACGGTTGACGGTCAACAGATTTTTCAATTTTTCTTAATATTGTTTGAACATAGCAGCTTGCCTAAGCAGCATGAAGAAAATTTAATTATTTTTTCCGTATTTTAGAACTTCCGTTTCCGCATTTCAGAATCTCAGTACTGTTTAGCGAGCGACAGTCTTACTTAAATTTGGAAAATTTTTTCCGTCATACATGGAAAGTTGCATTTTATTCCCCAAATGACGGGAAGAAAGTGGCCTATTCTATCTCCCATATTTCTGTTGTTTTTGAGGATTTTCGGGATAACATAACCCACATTCCTCCCGTCATTTACGCAGAAAAATCGAACTTTTCCGTATAATGATGACGGAAAGAATAATGTGCACCAAGAAAGGCAAACGGAACATTCAAACGCGCGTGTTTACCACCCTCGGCTTTGCCTCACGTCGCTAATACACAAGCCGGTTAGAATGTCCTGTTTCCCTCTCTTGTCGCACAATATACTATTAGATTTTAAGGTTGTTGTCGTGTAAACCCGTTTTTCGACAGATTTTTTTTTTAATATTGGCTATAGATAGCTCTTAAAATTCCCTCCAAAATGAGCACAACAAAAAACCAATCGTCAGTTTCTGAGCTGAGATATGATTTTTTGAATTAACATGGGTTCAAATGCATTTCACCGTTTTTCCCTTTTAAAAAAAAGCATGTAACGTTTTTTGTCAGCTTTTTTTGGCGCTATGCATATCAAAATATATCTATGTATTATTATATATATTATATATTATATATATAATATATATATATCATATTATATATATATTAGTTTTTTTTTATATAAATTTTTAGACTTTTTTCTTTCTTCTTTTTGAAATTCTATACATGTATATATTATATTGGAAATAACCGTGAATATAAATATATATATTCCAATGATAGCACCCCATACGTGGACGATTTGGCGCGCATAGCGCGCCATATACGCTAGTATTTAAATAAAAAAAACCACTCGACATTTTTTGATGAAATTAACACAGAACGTAGAAATAGTGACCACCAATATACTGAAGAAAAAAGAAAGTGATCGTCAGTTTCGTAGTTCCACCCAAGCTCAATCTCTCTCTCTCTATAACCAGGCATGCTGAGCGACTCAGGGCCATCAGCCTTCCCTGCAAGTTGAAGTTTTCATATTTCTTCCATTTTACTTTTGGAATATTTGCAGCATTCCGGTTAAAAATTACTTGGCGTCCATTTCTTGAATTTTAGCACGGTTAATTAAACAGAGAGGGAGTAGGGTGAAGGTAACCAGCATTTTCAACCCTTATAGGAAAATGTCACATTACAATATACATATATATACATATTATTTCTAGTATTTGTTTTTTCTGTGTAGATTATCTGTGTCTTCTTCTTATAAAAAACGAAGAGAAAAATATTAAATTCTAGGACTATCATAATAACATTAAAATGAAACCGGAAGTGTGAAAATATTTATTAGAGTAACTGTATGAGAAAAATCGTGAAAAATATTACATTGTATTGGTATTAAAAAATATACACTGCATTGAGGTGGTTATGGATTATATGAATAATTTGTCTAGGATAATGCCATATCTGTTCATGGGTCTTCAGACTGTTACAAGTGGTTCTCTTAATATTTTTGTTCAAGATAGAAATTTATTGTATCTAAAATTTCACATAAAAACTATTATACAACCTGTCATGCCAATCGTCGATTCTCCAGTTTTACCGTATTTGTTTAAGATAAGTTATATTCGAATTGACATTCGTAGGAAATTTATAGCCTAACCGATAACTACTCCCAATGAAACTTATATATATTAAAATATGACTGTTTCTTTCCGAATATCCAATACGCTAAAAATGGAAATTTCTGTGTTAGGTAAATTCCTATTTTCATTTGACTATTGAAAAAAGCTCTGAACAGTCCGGACCACCAAAATCGAGTTTGTAAAAGATACTGATGAACAAAGAGCTGGAAGTAGAGAATAAATTTGCTATATTTGCCCGGTGACTCATGAGGGAACGTGAGTGGATTATTATTATTCGTTACTGCAGTTGATATCAAATGATGAGTCATTGCTTTATAAGCATTGATATCAATGAATGGGTTTATCGGCCATAAACCTTTCAGCAAGGCATTACTCATTACATCG